CTGGGAAACGAGACCCATGTCATTTATTTGTTGTGCATCGCGAGATTATGTAGGTAGCCTCCTACATGGCCAGACCAACCACTCGGCACTCGTTTTATCTTAGTCTACGCATCACTTTCGCTCATGCTATTCCCACCTCAGCCAACGTTCGTTACTTATTATTTGCTTGATATATCTGATACCCATAGCCAACGGAAAAGAAACTCGCCATGCCTTCAGAAGAGCCGGAATTCGACGTAAATTATATGATAGCCTCCCTAGGCTTCCGCAAAGAACTCCCCAAGCGCCCCGTCAACCAGGATACAATTCGCTCGGCTCTCCTTGCTTTTCAGTCTATCCTTGAGCACCGCATTAGCCCTTCTACACGAAACCTCATAAAGAAGTCCTCGGGTCATGCCCGCCGATGGCTGAAGGATTCTGGTGATACCCCGCCAGGAGACAACCTGTCGGGGTTCATAACACAAATGATTGACACCTATTTCACTCTCTGCCATCCGGAAATACACATGATTGAAAAGATATCGCGCATTGCACGGAAAGCCGCACAGCTTGCGGACGACTATCCCGACTTCTCCCCACTTTATTCTATGTTGTTTGAATACGTGGATGTGATGGTGCCTATCTCCAAAGTCCTGAAGTGCAAGAAATGCTTTGGCCCAAATGCATACAACATTTCCCTGCCAGTAGTCGACAACGACACATTTTGGATCAAAGTCAAGCAGTGTCTCTTGCTCAATGAAAAAAACCGGAATCAGCTTCCCTTGAACTACATCCCAATGGACCGCCATAGGTTACACGACAGGGCATCTCAGATGCCACCCGGCGAAAGTTCTCGTATCAAGTCATGGCTTGCCCGAGTATGCAGTATTGTAGGCTGGGACGTTAAGGATATAGAGTGGCAGATAATCAACTACGCTGATTTTCATGAGTCTCCTTGCGGTCCCAGAATGTTCTTCCGCACTGCCAGATGGTCCCATCTTGCAAAGCACACCCTGCAAATACGTGAGCAGGTTGACGATCTTAAGCATACCTCTGGACGTGATTCAGACTTTTCATCGGAGGTTGGGCCTTACGCGAGTAGGGTTGTTGACTTGGTAGAGAAGAAGTGGTTCCGCACTCTGAGTGGTACGGGGAGCTACGAGTTTAGCGATGTTGCGTTGTCGTCCATGGAGAGGTCTAGACGGGGAGAGTATAACTACACCCCATCTGTCTGTAGGGATTTTCGACAGAGGCAGTTGTTTGATCCTGCCGAGCTGATTGTTACCGAGCCTCTCATGGTCTCCCGTCCCTTCAGATATGGGTGCCAGCAACGAGGCTCTCGACGAGCTAGAAAGAGACGAGCCAAATGAGAACGCTATTACTTTCATTATTAAGTGGTATCCGGGAGTGATCTGGTCAGAGGGAATAAGTCGTTTTTAGTGATTTTCTTATTTTTATCCACTTTCGTTGGTTACTATTTTTGTAGAAGGAGGCTATTATCAAAATTGAACTCAGCTATGTGCTGCCAGAGCGCACATACTAACCCATTTCCAAACCTTGGCCATTAATATTCAATTCTCAAACCTAGTAATATCTTAGATTCCAGTAGTAATCAAGAGACAGGACATAAAATCATGGGATATGTAACAAGATAGACTATGAACTTTGCCCTTCAGTGGCCTCATAGGCATGATGAAGATCACTCATGCTAGACTTCCGCTTCAGATCACTCTCAGCGCTCTTTTCCGATGGATTTTTCTCAGACAGGGAGACAGACAGCTCACTCTCGTCGGTGGCAGGAACCCGTTTCATCCATGTAAATATTCTTTCAACGAAACGTTTCTTCTCGCCGATACCTGGCCGGGGGAAATCCTGGTTTATATCTTCAGGACCCATTTCGTCAGACGAAGCAGAGGACGAATCCTCATCTTCTTCGGAGTCATCATCGTCATCTTCTTCCAAGGAGATATCCAGACTGATTGTACCGTCTGCAATGCCAATTTCAAGTTCATCCGGGAAGAGCATGTCGTATGCTTCAATCAGCTGGGGCATTAGACTGCCATCATCGAGGTTACAGACGATCTCGTCGCTAGTTACCGACACGTAGGAGCAGATGGAATGTTTGTGAAAACTGTCATCGTCTTCAAGGTCTATCACTATATTATCGGAGTCCGAGTCCAGGTAGGATGCGTTATCGTAGTTGTCTAGTTCTTCAGGGTCTAGTTCTTCAGGAGGGAGGTGACTATTCAACAAACTAGCAGGCGGGTCGCTTTTAGAGACATCATTTGTCTCCGGTGGCTGTGGTTGTATCAATCTTGGTCCATTCTTGTGACCTTTAACACATCTGGCAAGGAGTTTTTCGGGATTTTTATAATATTTGGCAAAGGTCGGTAAGGGATAAACCATGCTGGGAATGACAATTACTGAGCCTTCCGATTTGGCGGATATCAGGGAGGTAGCGCATGAGGTCTCCGTCATAGGTCTATCTTCGGGTTGCGACATTTCTGCGGTTGATGTAATATGCTTCCTCTGAGATGCGCAGGTAAAGAGGTGGAATAGCTTTGGTGCGTAATGTAGACCACAGTTCCTATCTCGATGCTATGCACTGCAATATCAGCATTTATGTTCTTCACTGGTGGTAGTAGGACTGTGGTGGGAATAAATAATTCCTGACCAGGAGATCTTTGGACATATCCTGTATATAAATCAAAGGAGAGAGACCAGCAGAGGCAGATGTAGAAAGATATCTGAACAGAAGGGTTGCGATGTTCCAATAATGCCAGTAAAGAAATAGTGATGCATACCTTTGTCAATGCAGAGCACAGTGAACAATCTCTTTTATTTGTCTCCATTGTTCACCTTATCCCATTGTTTAAACCGTACCTCTTCAACAGAGAGTTCAGAGAGCAGAATATGAGGATCTCTCCAGCGCTGAATAAATGTTGCAGATGTAATGGGTAGAGGGTATCAAACAGGGCCTTTTTTTTTTTATCAACGGGACGGGTCATAGCCAGGGCCTTAGAGTTGTGAAAAGAGCCAGAGGGTCTCGATATTCATTCGGGAGCAGCTAGAAGGTATAATAAAGTGTACTCCAGTCAGTAATAGCCAGTGAAGAGTGTCAAAAGGGGGTGAAGTGGCCTGGTTCACGGCTCCCTCCTTACCTCAACACTCACGGCGCGACCGGAACGCTTTGTTTACAGTCACTGACTGGATTCCAAGTATGTAGAGGACTCTGGGGGTGTAAAGCAACATCGGGAGAAGGTAATAGACGACGTGGCGGCGAGATATTAGGGATAATAGGTTGGTGAGCACACACGGTCGCATCTTGTCGAAGAGGGTTGAGCGGCAGCTACCAAAGGGATGTTGCAGGAGTAAAACAACAAACAAACCGGCAAACACATGTAGAAACAGGAGTAGTAGAGGCTCTCAGTCTCCTGGCCTCTGGGAGTATCAAAAATAGATATTTTATTTGCAAGAGTACTGTAGATATCAATTGAAGTAAATAAGTGACAAAAAGTTGGTGTATGTACCAAAACAACCAAAGCAAGAGGGGCCTGGCCTGGGTGCAGTGAATATGAGAAAATAGCCAAAAACACCTCCTTTTTCACAACTCACCATCCAGAGCTGGTAATTAGATGCTGAAAAAAGCAGAAAATCCGTCAATTTTTGCTCGTTTCATACGTATCAAAAAAAGGGGTAAAAGGGGTGGGTATGAATATTCAAACGGGCTGTCTTGTCTGGAGGTGCTGGCCCAACGGCGGCTCGAACCCACGGCGTCGGACCTGTTTTAAGGGGGTACATAGCTCCCTATGGCCGTCGAAAACAGTGCAGAAGTACCATCCCCAGATTTGAAGGCCGACGAGACGGCATGGAGAAGACTCCGATCAGGGATTTGAAGACGAGGAAAAGGAGATATAACATCGGATATTCAAAAAAAAGTGCAAAAAAGCTCGGGAGTCTGCAGCCTCCCTACGAAAACGCGGTCGCAATGACTTGGTTGTTCTCCTCCACCCGCCTTTCTTAGACATCGGGTGGCAAGCTACTGCGGGATACTACCAGGCTTGGGTTGCTAGCACACACCTCTCGGCATGTACCTCCAATCTGGGTTTACGCCATAACCACAGCAACTTACCGCTCGACCAGGCCAGCGGGCTTCAGTGAAAGACACCAGCCTAAGGGACCTTATAAGGCCTCTCAGCCAAAACTCGATCTCCCACCCCACCACGCAGCACAGAGAAAGACGGGACAAAAGGGGCAGCAGTTTGATGTACATGGTCTCCTTTACCTATGTACATCCTTTTTTATCTTCCTGATGGCCTTGGTTGTCTCCATAGAGGGATGCATGGCTTCTCCCACCTATTCTGGAGGCCTCCCAGCAGGGCGCTGCAGAGACCATCTGCCCAGCACCAGCTAAGGGCTAGGTAACCCGTGACTCTCCGTAGTAGTCGAATGGTAAGTTCATTTCTCCAGCCGGGTGGGAAACTTAATCAACTGGGAGTGACGCGGGTTCGAATCCAGCCAGAAATGTGAATATTTGGAATATCCTTTCCACAGCATGACGGTCCTGCCGGGCTCCAGTGGTTTACCGGGTGCAGCTGCCTTTTTTTAAGGAAGACAATACTTGGATCCAAAGGCAGCAGAAGCAACAAGGGACAGGGGGCAGGAGAGACAGTCAGAGACATCAGGATGGTTCAGCAAGGAGGTTGAGCTATAGAAGTTCCTCGACAACGCATGGCAACAGAAGGATAACAAGAACGCAACCAAAGATACGCAGTGGGATATCAAGAGAGGTATAACGGGTATATATAAGGGTATCGGAAATATATAGCAAAAAAATATCAAAGGATATATATAGTCCGGCCAGGATCAAATACAGGATACGCAGGATGCCCTATATGCCGTCCATCGGTGGAGTTCCAGAGAGATACCCCGGCCGTTGCTGTTTTTACGGAAGAGAGAGGTGGCCAGAGAGACCAAAAAATCCACAATTTACGGTAAGAGAAAGAAGATCCTGGCAGTTCCTACGGGCAAAAGGGTTCACTATCAAGGAAGAAGACCTGGAAACCAATATATATGATATGAAAGACGCCGCAGCCTGAGGATCGAGGGAGTCTGGGGAGGTCAAGGGAGGTCAAGGATGCAGTCACTGGCAGCTCCGAACGACGACGGGGAGTCCGACTTGACCATCGCCGGCTAGCTAGCACCTGGACCGAGCTAGCTGCCGACAGTGAATAGTCGAGACGACAGAAGATGGTGAAGATAAAGATGAAGATGAAGACGAAGAAGATGGGATGAAAAGAAGAAGAAGAAGAGGAAGAGATGAAGTCGAAGAGATGAGGTTGAAAAAGAGTCTGCTGGAGTGGAGCGCAGGGATCGTGCGTCAGCCGCTGGTTGGTCCACCGGGCGAAAGTTGGAACAGAAGAAAAACTCTGCGCAAGTCGATGATGGAACGACGACCAAACCCAACCAGTTAGTTCTGTCTGGCTGGCTGGCTGGCTGACGAACCAGGGACGGCGGCATGCGTAACAACGGAGGATGTTTGTGCCGGAAAAGTCGGGGTTGCACTGCTTCCCGGCCGTCTCTTTGCGTGCTGCTGTGGCAGGCTTAGTTACGAAGCCTGCAGGCATCAAACAGCAGAGACGGCTTGGGCGAGGGCCTCGTTCTCTTTACGTCATCCGTATCTACCAGGGAGAAGACGAGGGCCAGAAAAAGAAACGTTGGCGAGTTCTGGCCTCTGCTGACTGACAGACGGGAATCCATGGATCTAACCTTGGATTCTGATATGTGACTGGTTCCTTTGGTGGCCGAAGGTTATCGTTATAATAAAACGACCGGCGGCTTTCGCTCAAGAAGATGTAGGAGGAAGCCGTCAGCTTCTCAAATAAATATCATGGATATACAGAGTGCATGCAGTAATTGAGGAGTCCTACTAGAGCACGGCTGGAGCCGTATTAAATGTAACTAGGTCATGGCTGAGGGATCTAGCATCAACCGTCCAGCTCCAACACCTGCAGGACGCCCTCGTTTCAGCTTCAGGCAACCCGAGTAGATGAATGACTGTTCTAGCTTGCTTCTTCCGCCTTGTACTCATAATTCCTAAACACTTCGCAGCAGGCACCGGCTAACTAGCCAACCTGGTTGTCGCTAACTGCAACCTAGCTAGCAGCCGTATTTCATACCAAGCAACCTAACAACACCGTGGCATCTTCACCGCGACAACTAACCAGCAGACCAGCCAGCTAACGCGAAGACCGCCTCCTGAACATCGAATGAAATAGCATGCCTGCGTTACCTGTTCCCAGAGCGGTGTGTTTACAGCTTATAATTCAGTAGCAACAACCACGGGCGGACTTCACTAGTTAGTTGGTTAGTTAACTAGCCGGCCGGTTGGCGGGTGTCGAGCCTCCAGGACGCCACAACTCCCAGTCAACCACGAAGCCGCCGTCAACAATCCCAACCTCGACAACACCTCTCCGCGTTGCCCGGCCATGGGTGCCTCAGAGTCCAAGCTCGTCTTTAAACAAGGCATCTTCCGACTCTCTGAGCAGGCAAACATCCCCCCAGACGATCATTATTGGACTGGGGTTCGTATCAATCCTCCTTCCCCTACCATATACATAATACAGATCGAAGAAAACGCAAGCAATGCTAACCCAGGATGATGCCACTTTTAGTTCTGGGAATTGCCCGAGTCGGTCGAAGATGTCTTCAGTCTATTCTCTCCCACCGACATACGCCGGACGCGCGATGGCTCTTTGTCGAATTTAGAGACATTATTACTCGCAATCTGCTCCCGCCTGGTTGCGCTACGGCACCACCCATCGTTCCCTGATCCCGAACTCGCACCCGCAAGAGATGCGCTGAATTGCATCCGCATCCTTACAAGGCTGCTGCCATATGTCTACGAAGCCGATAACCTGGAGGAATGGGAAGATGAGTTCTTCTGGAGGCGGAGACGGAAGATGTCTCGCAAGGCACAGCTTTCGTCTCGGGTGCTCTTTGATGAATCTCGCAGTCAGGAAGAGGATGATGATGAAGGGGGAGTGCAGACTGGTCGACGAGGGTTGTCGGAGGAGGATTTCGAAGATGTCAAACCGCTTGCTGAAGAACTGCTGGATACGCTTTTGGACCTGCTTTTCTTCAGCGGGTTCACGATACCACAGATACCCCCGTCAAAGGGGAAAGTCGTCTATTCCATATGGCAGAGTGGTGTAGGATGCAATACCGCGATGGGTTCGAATAAGGAGCTTGAGAGCAATAGAACGGAAGTTTTGAGGCTTTTGCTTACCATGACCGGCCAGTCCATGTACATGCAACCCAGTACGTACCTCCTTCCATTGCCCTTTTCAAACTGCACCATCATAACTAACGCCAGTCAAGGCCTGCTACCCGTAAAAGGGGTGAAATCTCTCACATACCTTGTTACCTGTGGTGATAAGAAATTGGTCATGTCACTGCTCTGCTCCCTGCTAAATACGACAATCAAATATAACCCTACACCGTGGCGGCTACCATACGACCATGTCGTTTGGAAAGACCCCAAACAGATCCTCGTCATATACTGTCTCCAATTCCTACTTGCTCTCCTCCTTTACCCTATCCCAGAAGATGGCCGGGGTAGTCTACCCAAGAACTACTATCAGCACTTCCTCGGGCGCCTGCATCAGCCTCAGGATTTTCAGTTCCTAGTTGAAGGAATGACTAGAATACTAAATCAACCGGTACGTATATTTCTTTCGGGCTAACGAATACCATTCTCCTACATTTAACTAACCATATCCCCAGATGCAAGCAACCTCCTCGTATCTACCAGGAAGCCAGAAATCAATAAAATGGGCTCCAGAAATGCTCATGCTATTCTGGGAATTGGTCCAGTGCAACAAGCGGTTCAGATCGTTCATCGTGGACTCCAACCGCGCCCATGATTTTATCATCATCTGCATCTTCTACGCTATAGAATACAAGACCGACCCGTCTAAAAATGGCTTGGTCAAGATGTGCATCTTCTTACTTCAGACGCTGAGCGTTGAGCCGAACTTTGGCAAAAATCTGTTCCGAAGGTTCGAAGCCCAGGATACTCTGCCGCCCAGCATTCGACTAGAGAACTTCGGGGGCACTTATGGTGACTTCTTGATCATTGTAAGCATTCCACTCTTGATCCGCCGGTTTTACGGGATTATCGTTTCTCTGACCAACATATAGTCCATCCATACACTCATTAACACTAGCAAAGGGAAATTAGACGCCGTATATCCGGCGTTGCTTGCCATCATCAACAATGTGGCAGCATATGCCCAACGACTTTCTCCCGCCTGTGCTTCCAAGGTTCTTCAGCTATTTGTTTCAATGTCTGCCCCAAGCTTCCTATTAGCCAACGAGACGAACCACCTCCTACTATCCTCCCTCCTTGAATTTATAAATACTGTCCTCGAACACCAATTCAGCAGTGAGTACAGCTTTTTATCTAGCCGTGGTGCCCACACTGTTTGGTGACTACTAACATAGAATAGAGAACGCATATCTCGTTTATGTCGTACTCAAGTCCAGACGTCGGTTCGAGTCGCTCCGTGCATTCACCTTAGAGAGCGGCCAGCAGGAAATAGAACAGCAGAATCAACTACGGAAAGCTACATCTAGTTCTAGCGGCGATCGCACCCACTCAAGGGATAGCGACTCCAATGAGACGGGAAGCGGAAGGCGACCTCTAAACCATGTTCCGGAAGAAGAGGATGGAACATTTGCCATTGGAGACGACGATTCCGACGAAGATGGAGATGGAGAGCAGCAGACCTCTCGAATCACTTCTCCGACGGCTGAAGGCTTCCGTTCGCCCCCCATATCGCCTCTAGACGAGTCGGTACCGCTTCAACTTCGAGGCTTGTCTGAGAAGGCACGAGGCAAGATGCCTGCAGGCCAGCCGACATTTTCGCGTCAGAACAGCATGACGAGCCTAAGCAGCTATGCACCCACTGTCACCGCAAATGCTCGTGGCTTTGTCCCTACTTCCTCATGGGTATGTTTAACTTTCCAGGGTTGAGGTTGTGTATCGCTGACGAAAATTGTCAAAACCAGATTGAATCCTGGGTGCCCGAGCTTCCCCTTCACACCATTCTAACCATCATTTCCTCGATATCACACCGTATCCCAGCAGCCGCGTTAGAGTCATCACTAAACCCGGAGGCTCGCACATTAATAACAGAGCTCCCATCTTTCGCTGCAGCTCCACAGATCAGAGCAATATTAGCAGAACCATCTCCCATCCGCGTACATATGTTCGAATGGTCACCTCTTTCGCTCGGCTGGTACGAGTCGCTTCTCTGGGGTTTCGTCTTTGCCAGTGAAATGGTTGTCGGGTCTGCCGCCAATGCAACACCAGGTACCGTCGGTGTCTGGAATGGGACTGCCATCAAATTATTCAGAGTACAGGAGACGGCGGCGCAGGGACCGACGCTGCTTGCTCCCAAAGGCGCAGTTGACGCCGTGGGCAGCAGCCTGGTACAGCGGATAGGAAGCCTCAATATCACAGGCCGGAGTAGCAGTGCCAGCCAGGAAGGTCGAGAGGAGTCCAACACCGCCCGGGTGAGGGAGAGGGAGGTCTAGCATATCTTCTGTTACTAGTTGTTACTTTTCTCTTTGTCCCCAGTGTCTGCTTTTTGTTCGAGTTAGCACTGTCGCTTCCCCTGCTTTGCCTAGTTATCGCGTGCACTTGTCTTGGGCGTCGCTCGCTCGTCTGATCGCATCGTCGTCGGTCGACCATCCAACTAGTTATGTAGTCTCGCCGTCTGCAACCATCTTCAACTGCTCCCTGTATATCAACCAGCACCATCCATCTCCTCGTATTTTGCTCCCCCAGAACCGCCGTATTCGAGCTAGCGAGCCAGACAAGCCTCACACGTGGAGAGCGACGATCAACCAATTGGCAAGCAAGCATCCATGCTGGCTGTGTTCATTTAAACCTGGGTCCCGAGGGTCCATCCCGACGTCTATAAAGACCATCCGGTGCGGTCTCCAAGCATCGAGAGCTCCTCAGAAGTTTTTTTCATGAACAAGAGCTGGTAGTCCATACAGCCAGTAGTCTAAAACAAGATGAAATCTTTCATCCTGGCCTCTGCGGCCATCCTCGCGGCCTCCCTCGAGCCTGTCGCCGCCCTCTCTGAACCGCTACAAAACATCTCATAAACACAGACCGAAGCCCAATTTATAGATATCCAACCGACGTGACCCGTGGAATCGTTCCTATCCCAGTTCATTCTCACAAGTAAGTGGTGGGGTTTGCCGTGATGACAGTTAATGGCTGCGGCTAATGCTTTTCATAGCGACTACTGGAGAGATATTCCTTTCTATACTGGTATGCCTCGCAACTGCTAGTATTATCAACCTCAGCTTGGATAGCACTAACGACCAAGCTAGCGCTGTCTGCTGGATGCATCTCTATTGAAGCTGATGTCTTCCTTTTCAACGACACTCTCTATGTATGTCTGCCCGAGTTTACCTTACGTGAAATATCACTAATTATCTCACCAGGTTGGACATGAAGAATCGGCCTTGACCAAGGAACGCACTCTCCAGTCCCTTTACATCGAGCCTCTCATGAACGTCCTTAAGAAGACGAACCCCAAGAGCCCCTTTGTAAGTGGGCCTACTAGGCAGTAAGTCGGTCTATAACTTCTATTTATAGCCATTAACAACCAATTAATATGATGACAGCGGTGTTTTCGATACCTCCTCAGGCCAAACGCTGTACCTCTGGATTGACGTCAAGAATGACGGTGAAAAGGCCTGGCCTCACATCGTCAAGGCTCTCCAACCACTCCGAGATGCCAACTACCTGACCAAGGTCCAGAACAATGAGACATTTGTTCCGGGACCGGTCACTGTGATTGGAACTGGCGGTACGCCACTTAGCCAGGTCGTTTCAGCCGCAGACCGTGACTATTTCTACGATGGCCCACTTAAGGATTTGACTGGTTTTACTTCTCTGATCTCTCCTATTGCTTCCACCAGTCTCATGGAGGTTGTTGGAGATATCAAAAGCGACAGCGAGAATCCGCTTAACCCTACCCAGCTCGAGGCTGTTCGCAAGCAGATCAAGGCCGCAAAGGACAAGAGCATCGGTGTTCGTTACTGGGAGACTCCCGGATGGCCCATTCGTTTGAGAAATGAGTTGTGGAGAACACTTTGGAAGGAAGGTGTCGCCTTATTGAACGCCGACGATGTAAATGCTGCCAAGGGGTATTTTTAATGAGGAATATTGCCTCGACGACGATATTTTGTGCTTGGTAGATATTCAGCTATTTCGATATAATATATAATATTTGACAGGTCCAGTTGGGTTTATCACCGTCTCCCATGAATAGTATTTAGAGATCAAACCTTATCCCCCATAATATCCCCAGACCAGAGGAGCGGTTTACTGCTCACCGGCATCTTTTGAAAAGGAAACAGGTAGAGGAGTATCTGGCAATTCCTTATCGCCCACCTTGACCGGGTCTGCAGGAAGAAGAACAAAAAGCATTCGCACGGTTTCTGTTCCCTTGTTATTCCACGAATGGATAGTACCCCTCTGCACCACGATATCATGCTGCTTCATAACCTTGGTAACACCATTGTCCAGTTCCAGCTCTATCTCGCCGTTCAGGACCATGCCGAAGTCCACACTAATGGTTCGATGCATTAGGCCGGGAAGGCCTGGCGCAAAATCGACGATTCGCAACGTCGCATTGTCCTTCTCAACCAGGTTGACAATTTTGTTATGCATGTCAACCCATGGGCTTGTGTTGTCATCAGGGATACCGGCAGTGCGGAAGACGGTAACGAAGCCCATCTCCCCCTCTTTGGCAGGCTCAGGAGTGCCAGGCGTCATGGGGTTGTACGGACAAAGTTCGGAGTCTGAGTCGAAGATAGCTTCTCCATTTGCATTGTGGCCGGTAACTATTCGACGGATGGTAGGTGGGAGAGGCATCTTTGGCAGCTGGCGGCGTGTATTCGCTCGACGAAGTGTTTGATTTTGCCGTACGTAGGTATATGGGTTCGAGTATCAGATCAGCCCGATGGATTGAGGGAGGGGCATCAGGTGGCTGCGGGGAAGAGCTGCTTTCTTATACTTGGGAGTACGAGTCAATTGGCAGGCCCTGAACATGATCATACGCCCATTCACCCATGGCCTTTCCAGAATGCCCGGCTGGCTCCAATTAGGTAATGCTCCGCATAAGACAGCTGGCTTGGTTGGTGTTCGCAGAACGTTGGCTGACGTGCATGTCCCTGCACTTTGACAAATTTGATCTCGACGAGAGGCCTGAACGGTGATGTGATTGGACTATGGCCTGCACACCGTGAAGCAACCAGCAGGCCAAGGCGCATTTTACCTGGGCAGTACATGAGATGGAGCGATGTTGATAACTGTAGGTCTTAGCTGGTCCATATTAGAGGCCAGAGCCTCCGCAGGTCCGGACAGTCCTCTTCCAATCCTCCTGTATCTCGCAAGGTCTTTTTTCTCAGCGTGATTGCTGCTTGATAGAAGTATCTAAAGTCTAAAGGTAGACTTGACCAATAGGGACTCTTTCTTGACTTTGAAGTGGGCCCTGGTCAGATGACTCGGATTAATAATTATCCCTAAGGATTACTAAGGTATGACTAATATCGGATACGACTCTCCAACTTTAAACCAACCAAGTTCTCTCTCTATTATATCAAGCATTCTATAACTATTAACTAACTAGCTGTGGGTATCTTGTTCCTTGACGCAGTGGCCGAGCCCATTTTGCGCACTTGTTTCTATGAGTCCAGTGACATTGGAAGAAGCTCTCAGTCAGGCTGTCCGCAAGGATGTAAACCTGGTGGTTCGACATGTCGCCGGTGCTCCAACTCCTTGTCCACCAATCTTCTCAGCACCAATAGGTGAACCGGATGAGCCTACTATATGCAAGCAGCACTTCCTAGCTGTCTCCATTAACCCTGGTGCCGAGAAGGAAACAAAGCAGGACACAGACAACGAGGATTCCGCAAACAGTGACGAGCTGCTTGTTTTCGCAATTGAGGTGCTAGTGTACACAACAGACAAGTTATCTACTCTCTTTGTCTCTAAAGCTGATTCTACCGGCTATCTTTCCCTTTTAAACCATGATCAGAACTCACCAACAGCATACTCATTGACAAGGAATGTCTTGAGCACATTTTTATACCACCTTGTTCGCATTTACCAGAAGCCGGGTATTACCCTTGTTCTCTCCCTCTTTGCAAGGGCACAGGATCAATACCTCTTCCCGGGGAGCTCGGAACACAAGGGGAAACATATATTGGACGACCGCGGACTAATAAAATGGTGGTGTCGCGTTATTGACCCTATCATGAGATCCTTAGAGCAGGGAAACAATGATCGCTCACCTGTCAATTCCCCCGATGCTGCGACTGTCCCCACAAAACAGTCTGTTGCAACCCATCTTATCGTTCCTGGCTGTGATACATTTGAAACCAAGAATTTCATTCCAAAGAGTGGAGGGCCCGTCAATACCCCTGGTAGCCGCTGGAGACTTGATTACCCTCTCCACCAAATCTGCTCTTATCCCAATGCCCCCCCTCGCTGTCTAGTTCCTCGGTTCCCTGATGATCCGAAAGCACGATTTCTTATTGATCTCGACGACGAGATAACAGAAGAAAACCCCCCTCATGAGCTGAAGAATTCTGGGAGGTGGCATAGCGTAAAAACGCTCGATCAATTTTGGGAAATGATGTCATATCGTCAGGAGTGCTCGGCTGGCAGGCTAGTTGGGTTTCTTTGGATGGTTGTCAAGCCTTCTACCGACCCCGTCAAGGTTTCTGATCCGACTTCCCCTAAGGGTAGCTCCACAGTCGAAAACCAAACAGTAAAATCCGATCCACTCGCAAATAGGGAAAGCCCTGCTGAGAAGTTGTCAGCGAATCATAAACACGGCATCGACAATTCGATAATTGAAATCAGCAACAGCGACTACAAAGCCCTTGCAGACTTCCTTCTTGATCTTGATTTTTCCAACCAGTCGGATGCGACGGCCAACACAATGCTGTGGATTGAAGAGCTTTCTTCTTTGAGCGGCTGCAATAAGAAAGGCCTAAGGATCACAGGAACAGCAGCTCCAGCCGGGCCACCACCTCCAACAGTAACATCGGCGCCCCCTGTCTCCACCAATGTGCTAGGCGATGGGTTGATACGAAAAAGGAAACGACAACCAAGCGACACTGCAGTAGTCCCGGGGGACAACACAGTCATGCCTGCTCATGGCCCTTCTTCATCCCAGACAGCACGAGACGGCTCAAAAGAACACACCGATATACCAGCAACCACTGTAACTCAAGAACAGATATCAAACGAACCATCTGTTAATGTTTTGGGTGGTAACTTAATCCGAAAGAAGAAAAAGTAGAGGAATAACTCCTCATTGAATCTATCATGCCATAATAACATCAGCATATGATGTGATGATTACGATCTCGGGATACCGGGCGAGATAGAATCGATGCCCGGTGAGAAGTGGCTGGTTATGAGCAATCACTGTTGTAAGTTAATGTTATTTTAGAGGAATGAAAGGAAATAATGATGTATTTATGAAAGGAAAGATAATAAATAGTATATGCGCTTTGCTTACTCCGTACATCGCGAAGAACCAAGCCAATTTGGCTCAAAGAAACAAAAAAAAAAAAGTAGTTACTTTAGTTACCCGCTAATTTTCCCGACGTCTTGACAGTTTATTTTAAGTCACTGTGGACCAACTAAACGAACGCCTTTCAGCTCCACACATTTTTATGAGTAGGAATACGAAGGGGAAAAAAAAGAGACCCTTTCGGGTTATTGGCGGTACTGGGAATCGAACCCAGGCTGGGGCAGCCACAATGCCACGTCATACCACTAGACCATACCACCTTATTCGATGGAAGGGGCCTTTCACCCTAGACTGTTGAGTGAATCTAGTGCGCTGTCGATTACATAATACCTCATCTCCCCAGAACAAGGGCGACTTTAAGACAGCCGAGAGCGAATAAAGAACCATACAGGGAGATATAGCTAGAATTTGTGCCGACAATAGGTGTGATATCGCGAGGAATCAAATAAATCGAATTTGCCTCCAAAACTCATGAGCTCTACCCCTTAACTAAATGAAAATTACCCCCCTAGTTTTCCTGCTATTCAAGTAGCGTTGATTGCTTAGACTTAACCTGGGAGTTTCAGTCCAGCTAATAGTAATATCTGCATCGACTACCAAGAAAGCTTCGCCAACAGGCCTTTCGGATAATTACGAACAAAATACTTCCTTGTCTCATCAAGCAGAAGAAGACCAAGTCCAAATGCGATAGGAAGGAAGAAGTGCTCCACTGGAACAGTCGTCGTAGCGACTGTGTTCTGAATTCCAGGAATGTAGCAGACTATTCAAGGTCGTCAGTTACGTTTCAAAACGAATTCCAACAACAACTCTTTACTTACAGATGAAGATAATCATGAGAGAAAACAGCATAGCTGCGAAAAGGAGAGGATTCTGTGTTTCCTTGTTGAATATTGGGGGCTGCTGGAAGATGCTTAGCCGTCTAGTTCGGGTGGCCAGCAAATTGAAGAACTGCAAAATGACGAGGTTGACGAAGTAGATCGAAGATGCTTTGTTGGATATTTCGGTGACATATGCCGGGTCATATTGGGGGTCCATTTTGCCAAATTTGAGAAGCATGGCACTGAATGGAATGCCGCGCCTCTTTTAAGGTAAAAGCACCGTATGAGCTCGAGTCCATCTTATTTCAACTCCGGACTTCGGGGCAACACTTACAGACATATACCAGAAAGCCATGACAAACGAGAGTAGACACTCATACACGCCAATAAAGCCATATGCATGGAGGATAAAACGGCCGTTGACTAATCGGTCTGTCTTCTGGTTGCGAGGAGGCCGAAGGAGGACATCCATCTCCGGCTGTTCGTAGGACAGGGTAATAGCCCCAGCAGCATCTGTAAATAAACTTCGTAGGAAGTTAGCAAGTCTTCATAGCCATTCCAGATCCTTACGATGTCCCTACCATATAATGACCTGTTGCCATCCCAGTTAGCATTTGCGGCCCCTTTTTTTTATCTATAGACCGGAAGAACATACCATGAGAAACGACGACAAGGCCTGAGGGATACCGAGGAAAGTGTTTGCCAGGACAGGCCCTTTGCAGAAGGTCAGCACTAAATCGGTATCCATAAATCTGGAACAGTAGATAAGCTTACAAAGTTCACTAAAACTCCCTGCTGGTAGAAGGTAGCAGATAGTCTTCTTCAAATTATCTAATAATAAATCAGTAAATGTAAAATCGAGGTGAGTGCATAATTGGGGTTGGAAGTTATATCGTACCGAAAGTGACACGGCCATATTTGACGGCCTCGACAATAGCGGCAAATGAGTCTAAAAGGACCATGTCGGCGGCTTCAATGGCTATGTCAGATCCACTACCTAGTGCTACTCCGACATCTGCAGCTTTCAGGGCCGGTGCATCATTCACACCATCGCCTGTCATTGCCACTATTTTTTCCCGGGACTGGAATTCCTTCACAATTCGAAGCTTCTGGTCAGGGGTAGTGCGAGCAAAGACGATTTCCTCATACGTGCAGAGTTGATCCCACTGCTTGTCATTGAGAGTGATAAGCTCAGGGCCACTGATAACGAGAGGAGATCGCTGTTCACGTTGGTCATGTTGTTCCATTTCAAAATCGCGGCGTAGGTTGTCAATGGAATGAACCACTGTATTTGACGATTTGATTATGCCACAATCTACCGCAATGGCTTGAGCAGTGAGTTTAAAATCTCCCGTCACCTACAGAACTGTTAGTAAAATGTAACAAGAAAAAGGTGCTCAGTATCTAACCATCAATATCCTGATACCAGCGCCACGTAAAGTGTTAATCACATCCGGTATTTCATCTCTCTGCCTCATTAGTTAGAAATATCCCGAAAGGTATTGTTAAGTGCGACGAACCAGAGGGTCAATCAATGCCCACATTCCAACAAAAGTAAGATCCGATCTCGCATAATCCATGATGGATTTTTCAGGCTGTGCCATTTTCAGGCTATCTTCAATAGCCTGGGTGACGTCTCTCCTCGCAAGAAGTATCACTCTCTTTCCTTCGCGAGACCATTTGTCTTTTGCTCTTTCGATAGACTCTCTGTCCATGTCAGATAACGCAGCAATGGAGCCATCACTATTAAGAACCGTACGACAGCGTGGTAACAGGATATCAGGAGCCCCTTTTATCGAAAGTTCCCTGGATATAGTAAGTACTGGAATATAAAGTCAGGGTAGCTGAATGACCCACATTTCCGTGTGCTTTTCAGCGTTTTCTGTATCTGCTGATGGTACGGGTGCCATAATTCGGATCATGTACTTGTTTTTACTGCTAAAAGCAATCTCAAAGACCTTTTTCCACTTCATCTTCAGTTCCTTGGTAGGCTCCAAAGACTCGGAGAATCGCAGAATGGCTTGGTCAGTAGGATCTCCGTGTATTTTCATTGACTGTGCAGGAAGCTTGAGAGTAGACGCATCTATTTCAGCTGCGTTGCATAGAGCACCCAGTACTTGGGTGCGCTCCAGGGCATTATTAGGAGAATTAGAGCCTTCGCACGCGGTACCAAGGAACTTTTTGACGTCATCTGCCCTGTATTCATGCCCGCCAGCAAAGCAGTCGGTCACAAACATTTCATTCTATAAGGAAATGCGAGTCAATAATAGTTATCCTAAGTAAAGGCCGTAAGCTCTTACCTTAGTCAAAGTGCCTGTCTTATCAGAGCATATCACGGAGACAGATCCAAGTGTTTCTACCGTAGCAAGAGACTTGCAAAGGATGTTATTCTTTCTCATGATTTTCGCTCCAATTGTAAGGCTGAGCGCAACAGCAACGGGAAGTCCCTCTGGAACAAAAGCTATACCGACGCTCACGCAATTGACTATGAGCAATGGCACATTGATCCAGTTTGGATGGGATTTTCTCAACCATGCAGCCCTATACTGTGTCAATAAATTAAAGGGGTATTGTTTGGAGAAGGTGAACTATACCAGACAACCACAACCAGAATGACGACTGAGGCGATAAAGCTAACGATAATCAAGACAAAGCGTAATATCTCCTTCTGAATTGGTGTGAGCCCATGATTCGGTTTGCTCGTCAGATTGGCAATGCGACCAAAGACAGTCTTATCTCCAGTCGCAATACATATGCCAGTGGCGGTACCTGAGACGCAGTGTGTTCCTTGGAGGCCAATACAGCGAGTTTCTAGGAAGTTCTTATCCGTAGACTCGACTGTGCCATCCACGGGTTCCGATTCACCTGGGAGAAGTTAGTAGATATAATACCGTGGGTCAGCTGGTGGAGGGCTTACCTGTGAGTATAGACCTATCGAACTTAGCATCGGACGATACCTCCACAAATCGAATATCGCAAGGCAGCTTATTCCCCTGTTTAATTTTAATGATGTCCCCGGGCACAAGCTCAACAGCAGACATTACAACAGTAGCAGAGTCCCTAATAGCTGTGCAGTCATCAGGAAGCATCGTGGTAATGGAGGCCATGACCCTTGAGGATGACCAATCCTGCCAGGCATTAAAACCGGCCTGGATGAAGAAGACTGCCAACAAAACAATGGCCAGTGCCAGGTTTGCAAGGGCTGGGGGGTCTCCCAGGGGCTTCCAGGCGATAAAGACAAGGATGCATCCGGTCAAGAGCAGTATACCAAACCCGCCGAAGAAGTACCCCATGATTTTGCGAAACCATTCAGTATGGGGACGGGTGGGAGCATTTTTGCCATGCTCAAGTATACGTTTACGGGCTTGGTCTGCAGAGAGGCCTTGGGAAACTGAGGTATTCAGGCGTGATACTATGTTATCAATGGGGATCAAATGCCAGTCTAGCTCCGAGATACCTGTTGTAGCAATCGAAGGTCAGCTAGATGATTTTTTGCATAAAGTTAGCCAAGAGGGCAAGAAACAACTTGATCTCACCATCGACAGCTTGCGTGGCACCTTTGAGAGGTGTCTCATTTGCCTTTTGGATGGACTCTTCAACATTGTATGAACTATTAATAGAGATAAGTGAGTGACCAGAGGGCTGGCTAATGTGCGTGCTATTACGTACAGGGTACGGTATGCAATTGGAAGGACGGTTTCCGGAGGCACGATCCTACGCGCACTGCGAATGTACAAGGAACCAACAGATGACTTCCTATGAAGAAAGCGACGTCGACTCTCTTGAGGCTGTTCCTCATCTGCGTAACGAATACGCATGTCCGAGTCCACACCAGCCTTTTCGGCGTCATCTCCAACCGTCATTTTGGACATAAATAGACTAGGAAATGGGAAGAGAATGTATAAAGACTGGATAAGCAGGTAGAATGAAAAATTGATGAAATTGGTCCCTCCCAAACGGTCTTTTTATATTGGTATTCCGACAGCAGATCGGCTACAGCCGCACAAACAACGCCGAAATTCCCTTCCCATATCGAATAAGAACAAGCGGAGAAGATAGCAAAATCAGCAGCCCTTCAGCTTATAGTTGCCTCAATCAGTTAATAGCCATGCACGGACTACTAATATCACCACAGCCGCTTCCCATGGCACGCACGTTACGAGCATGGATGCCACAGCTGAACCTCTCCTTGGGAACAGACGCGCCGGGACATTGTTCCAGCAAAGCTTTGGGACAAGGGAAAAGTCCCTCATAGTAATTTGACTTTCCCTTGTGCTCTCTAGCTTGTAGCTAGATTAAACCTCGATCTAGACGTGGCGCAGCAATGGGACAGGTGGGCTCGAGAGATATCAAAAAATGCATTAAAGCACATGCTTTAATATACGAGAGACCAGGGAGGTCCGAATAGAGGACAGTTCAAGTCCGCCAATGTGACAAGAATGACCAGGCTGGAGAGCATATTATAATAACTAATCCAACAGTCGGAATATGCATCCGTGTTCCCGTCAGGAGGGGACGCATTGACTAGCGGAATCAAAGGTTCGACGGCCAGAGTATCTAATAGCACGCGACTGCAATGCGAGACAGGATACTGTCGGGTCGGCCAATCCCGCCTATCTACTCCGTAGTCAAATAACTATTCCTATAGGCTGGTCAGCCTCCGGAGTCAGCTTGGACGAGGGAAAGACGGCTGCTTGACCACTCACCCACTTCTAGTGCAACGCCGCCGTCCTGCATCCTTTGCAGATGACGACGTTGAGCCGGGTAAACCTGCACAAGGCGTGGTCGCACAGGGGGTCGCCAATTACTACCGCACACAAGCACACAGCACGCAAGCACTTAAGCTGAACTGGTTCTTTTCTATGTTTTAAGCGCTGAGCCGTCAAATGCGCTGCAGCGCAGGAAGATGGAAGTGCGAGTTGGCTGACGTCGAAGGTTGAAGTTGGGTTTCCCAGCAGAAAACAAGCTTTGGCAGGCCGAGAAGCTCGTGCCACACCAGCAACGTCGTCTAACTAGTTAGTTATTTATTGATTTGTTATTTCGATGGAATTATCAAACTACCACTACTACTACGCAGGAGGGAGAGGGAGACGATAGATGCCTCTGTCCTTGCAAGCGTGGTTTCCAGCCAGAGGCCGCCCAGCCCTCAGCTGCCTCTTCTCTGCTACGTACCGTGCGACCCAGAGTAAACGGGGTGCTGCTGCTTTCTCGTCGCAAAGAGAGCAGCGACTGACCAGTAGTAAGCACAGCCACAGCGACATCCATGAAGAATACATCCCACCAACTAAGTTAACTAACAGAGAGCCTGTGGAAAGGTGCACGCCGATCTGGTAGAGAAACTTACGGTCGGATAATTCATCCTGCAGTCCTTGGTGCATGCAGCGTTTCACGTAGCTCCGGCTGCAGTCTCCAGTCTATATACTCCGGGCGATTTCCCGCGGATGAGCTCCAGTTTGTTGGTGCGTCCGATTCTCCATATTATTATTATTATTATTTTACTATTCTGTGGAGTTTTCAGAAGCCGTTTTTCGGATAACTGACGAAGATTTAAGCGAGTCCTCCGACATAGCAAGAGAAAATATCATTACGCTAAGGCAAGAGAATAAAATGGCTACTCCGTACTCCGTACCTCTCGTTTCAATTCAAACCATTAATTGAGGAGTTTTCCAGGGCCATCGCGTCACATTATTAACGGAAACAGCCGTTCGGGTACAGATAATCAACCCTGGTTGAGCGACTTGACACACCTGCTTATTTCCCGCAAGTGGCAAAATGGTGCAACACCAACAAGCCCAGGACACGCAATAACTAACGACCCGACTAGTCGACAATAAATAATCATGAAAGAAAGATTCCATGGGAACGCAGGAAGGCTAAGGGTTAAATAGTCGAACAACTATGGAAAAGGGGAGAGAAGAAGCAGAAGAAAAGAAAAGAAAGAGAGAAAAAAAAAAAGGAGAAAAGGAGAAGGTTTACACCATTCATCGCTCGCTTGGGGTGCCACGAAAGAGACTTCCGATTGACGGCTGAGCTTCAAGAGGTCTAGTTTTCTCTGGAGTCCTGTCCGAGGCTAATAATAACAAAATAGGGAGCTTCGAGAAATAATAAAAGGTGAAGCTGACGTCGTGTCAGCAAGTCAAGAAGGAGAAGGGCGTCTACTAAGTTCTTAGGATGGTGATGGTGATGGCGATAATAACGATGACGACGATGATGATACCAAGGTAAGGTAAAGCCCAAGAGCAAGATCGTGTATCCTCCGCCGCTGTCCTCCCTGTCGTTGCCCTCTTCACCTGATCTATATACTTACAGGGGTTGCATCGGATTCGTCCCATTCCCAAGCTTCGCATGCAGTCATCTCGCCCTACTGATTGGCGTCTTTCAAGGACGGGGGATCCACGGGCTTTAAAATTAATTAGTTAGACCAGTGGGCCGCCTTTTTTCTTTCTCAAGCTTTTTTTCTTCTCCTCAGGCCGTTGACTCCTTAATCTTGGGCTTTTACTCTTGATGTCTGGAGAGCAGAGGGAAGGGCAGCAAAATTTCTGATATTTGCAAGCCACAGAACAATCTTCCTCCCCTCTCCCTCCCACCACCATCATCATCTTCTTCACTCAAGTCTCCCGCATAACCAGGGGCCTATTCTTACTCGTCACCTTTCCCTCTCCCGTGTAGTTAGAGGGGTCAAGCTTTTTACGCTCTTTTTCTTTTTTCCCTCTTCCATCTTCTGGTCCTCCTTAAAAGTATGAGCTTGTCCTGAAAGCCTGCTTGAATTCGCCTCCAAAAAAATCTCAGCAGAAAGGAGACTCTTGCCTGTCTCTTCCTCTCTGTCTGAAAGAGGGAGACTGTCCTCTATAGAGCTATAGAGCTTCTTATTTTTTTTAGAGACAGCCCCTTGTTCTTGCGATCCATGGTGGCCGAAAGCGCGCTGGTTAACGCGGTCACCACCTGCAGCCAACATGGCCAGAGTCTCTGGCTGGTTGCTGCGGGCTGGCTAGCCATCGGCTGGTACGTCTTTGTTGTTACTGTTAGCACAATAGGGACTATACAAGTGTGAGCTTCACATTCTCTCCTCCTTCTCCTTGTGGTTATTGTGCTGTTGGATCTTGCATGCGAGTCCTGGCTATGGGATGGGGTTCACAGCTCCCCAGTCAAAGTAGCTATCAACGCTAACAAGCTGTTCTGGTACAGATTCAGGAGATACTCCAGACCCCTTCCGAAGGCTACGAGAGCTCCCTCAGATCCGAATCTCCCACATGTCACCATTATCAGACCTATCAAGGGCCTTGAGCCCTACCTCTACGAAAATCTCTCTTCCAGCTTTCAGCAAGACTATCCCAAGGACAAGCTCAGCATCTCTCTCTGTCTCTCGTCAAGAGACGATCCCGCCTACCCAGTGATAGAAAAAGTCCTTGCGCGATTCCCGGATATAGATGCGCGTCTCTACCTGGAGCCAAAGTATGAAGACCATGAGCTGGGACCTAACCCAAAGATTCGCAACATGAGCCAAGCATACCGTGAATTAAAGGGCGATGTCGTCTGGGTGGTCGACTGCAATGTCTGGCTAGGGAAAGGCGTTTGCGGGAGGATGGTAGAACGTCTGTGTGGACTGGACTCAAAGGGCCAGAAGTACAAGTTTGTGCATCACCTACCGGTCGTTGTTGACGTTGATAGCGAAGATGCCGCAAGGGACTTTGAGAAAAATGCCATATTCCCTCCAGCAGCGGCTATGAACGGCAACGGCGCGTTGAAATCTGCTCCCGGAAGTGTTGTGGCCACGAAACCTGCTCCAGTTTCTCCCATTGAATATATCTCTTCAATCGGCGGCGGTCGATTAGAGGAGATATTCCTCGCCTCCTCCCATGCGAAGATGTACTGTGCCATCAACACCATTCTCGTTGCCCCTTGTGTCGTGGGAAAGTCAACCATGTTCAGACGTTCGCACCTCGACCAGGTCACCAAGAACCATGTCATACCCTCTCGACCATATCCCCGGAAACCAGGTCTGGACTCCCTCTCTGACAACATCTGCGAAGACCACCTCCTTGGAGAACGCATGTGGAATGGCAAACTTGAGGAAGAAGAGGAAGGCCAGCCATCAGAATGGGGTAAACATGACCTTGTGTTCGGCGATCTCGCTATCCAACCGGTCACCAAGATGGCCACCTCCTCTTACATTAATCGCCGAGTCCGCTGGATCCGCGTTCGGAAATTCATAGTTATTCTAGCTACGATTGTTGAGCCAGGCATTGAATGTTTCGTCTGCTCTGCCTACCTCGCTTTCGGTATCACCACCGGAATCCCTCCCCTCCTCTCTGGTAGCCAGTACTGCTCAACTTACCTGTCGACATGGTCTGCTTTCGGGCTAGTCTGGGGTCTAAGCGCCTTCGTCTGGATGCTAACAGACTTCTTCCTATACCGAACCCTCCTTTCTTTTGTCACCATCGAAGTGGACGAAAACACACCGCGCTTCGCCCGCCCTCCAGCTCCGGAATCGATTGCCAGACGACCATTCCTGGAATGGTTCCTTGCCTGGCTTGGTCGGGAGACTCTTGCCCTACCCATATGGGTATGGAGTGTCTTTGGCGGTGCTACCATCGTCTGGAGGGACCGTGAGTTCAGAGTGGGCATGGACAATGTTGCTCATGCCGTTGGTCCGGCCTCGAAGCAGCGGTCATGCAATGGTTCGCTTAACAACGACCCAAACGGCCAATCTCAACGGTCTTACGGGTCAGATGACAGCTGCGAAGTTCGACGAAGGACACCAATCGAGAATCTCACCAAAATGGGTATGAAAACAACCGCTGCTGCCATGGACCTCGATGAAACATCCCGATTGATTTAATCCCTAACGTCTGCACTCTTCTTA